TTTCTGAAGGCACTGTATATATGTAAGTATTTATGTTCATATTATGAGTACATTATGCAGACAGAATGCATCCAGTGATGTATCTGACACCTGTATTTGTAGGATAGATAGTTTGCAAATAAACCCCCTCCCTCTGCTATATCAATGCCCTGTTCTGACACAACTTTCATCACTGCAAAGACACTGTCTGCCATACAACTAAGAAACATGTTTCTTACATCTCTCCTCCTCCTGTCCATCCTCCCATGTAAATGGGGGATTTTAGTATCTTTGAATACAGAACACCAAACATTGGAGAGATTGGGAAGAAACATCATATACTTCTGAATCTAGTCAATGCAGAAGTTTTACCATTGTGTTAGTCAGTTGTTTTGCTATTGTGTTAGTCAGTCACTACAAAGGGAAGCACAGCCGTGAGTTACCAGAACGTGTACTCCGAGCATGTGCTGACCAACTGGCAAGTGTCTTCACTGATATTTTCAACATGTCCCTGACTGAGTCTGTAATACCAACATGTTTCAAGCAGACCACCATAGTCCCCGTGCCCAAGGACTCTAAGATAACCTGCCTAAATGACTACCGACCCGTAGCACTGACGTCTGTAGCCAGGAAGTGCTTTGAAAGGCTGGTCATGGCTCACATCAACACCATTATCCCAGAAACCCTAGACCCACTCCAATTTGCATACCGCCCCAACAGATCCACAGATGATGCAATCTCTATTGCACTCCACACTGCCCTTTCCCACCTGGACAAGAGGAACACCTACGTGAGAATGCTATTTATTGACTACAGCTCAGCATTCAACACCATAGTGCCCTCAAAGCTCATCACTAAGCTAAAGATCCTGGGACTAAACACCTCCCTCTGCAACTGGATCCTGGACTTCCTGACGGGCCGGCCACAGGTGGTAAGGGTAGGTAACAACACATCTGCCACACTGATCCTCAACACAGGGGCCCCTCAGGGGTGCGTGCTCAGTCCCTCCTGTACTCCCTGTTCACCCATGACTGCATGGCCAGGCACGACTCCAACACCATCATTAAGTTTGTCGACTACACAACAGTGGTAGGCCTAATCACCAACAACAATGTGACAGCCTATAGGGAGGAGGTCAGAGACCTGGCCGTGTGGTGCCAGGATAACAACCTCTACCTCAACGTGACCAAAACAAAGGAGATGATTGTGGACTACAGGAAAAAAAAGAGGACTGAGCACGCCCCCATTCTCATCGATGGGGCTGTAGTGGAACAGGTTGAGAGCTTCAAGTTCCTTGGTGTCCACATATCCAACAAACTATCATGGTCCAAACACACCAAGACAGTCGTGAAGAGGGCACAACGAAGCCTATTCCCCCTCAGGAGACTGAAAAGATTTGGCATGGGTCATCAGATCCTCAAAAAATTCTACAGCTGCACCATCGAGAGCATCCTGACTGGTTGCATCACCGCCTGGTATGGCAACTGCTCGGCCTCCGACCGCAAGGCACTACAGAGGGTAGTGCGTACGGCCCAGTACATCACTGGGGCCAAGCTTCCTGCCATCCAGGACCTCTATACCAGGCGGTGTCAGAGGAAGGCCCTCAAAATTGTCAAAGACTCCAGCCACCATAGTCATAGACTGTTCTCTCTGCTACCGCACGGCAAGAGGTACAGGAGTGCCAAGTCTAGGTCCAAAAGACTACTCAACAGCTTCTACCCCCAAGCCATAAGACTCCTGAATAGCTAATCATGGCTACCCGGACTATTTGCACTGCCCCCCCCACTCCATATTTTTACGCTGCTGCTACTCTGTCAATTATTTATGCATAGTCACTTTAACTCTACCCACATGTACATATTACTTCAACTACCTCAACTAGCCGGTGCCCCCGCACATTGACTCTGCACCATTACCCACCGGTATATATAGCCTCCCTACTGTTATTTTATTTTACTTCTGCTCTTTTTTTCTCAACACTTTTTTGTTGTTTTATTCTACTTTTTTATTAAAAATAAATGCACTGTTGGTTAAGGGGCTGTAAGTAAGCATTTCAATGTAATGTCTGCACCTGTTGTATTCGGCGCATGTGGCCAATAAAATTTGATTTGATTTGATTTGATTTGATTTGAGTTGTTTGCTTTTGTGTTAGTCAGTTGTTTTGCTATTGTAACATACTGTAGTTTTTGATGAATGCCTGTCATCTGTCTTTCTTTACACTCCCATCTCTTTCAGATATACACAGCATTTGTTTGACCTCCTCCACTGCTCAACTCAAACCTCCTGGACAGTCAGTGAAACTATCTTGCCAAGTCTCTGGCTATGCTCTGACAGCTTATGGTACAGGTTGGATACGACAGCAGCCAGGGAAAACACTGGAGTGGATTGGGATCATCTGGGGTGGTGGATCCATCAACTCTGGAGCCTCTTTTAAGAGCAGATTCACCATCTCCAGAGACAGTAGTAATGTACTGTACTTAGACATCACCAGTCTGCAGGCTGAGGACACAGCTGTGTATTATTGCGCAAAAACTGGAGGCACAGTGCAACAGCTCAATGGAAGACCTGTACAAAAACATCATACTAACAAAAAGCCTACTGTAAGAACAACAGAGTTTGATAGAATGACAGCTTTAAGAGTTAAATGTTCAAAAGCAAAGCCAGTGAAGTTCAATATACAACAAATACACAGTAAATTGGGTGTAGATTCTTCAGTTTAAAAGTTGCACAGTGTTGATTTCAAAGCAATTTGACTCTAAATGGAACACTCTATGGTCATAAATTCAACACTCCCATAGTTAATTTAACATTGATGAGTACACCATCCCATGAGTGAAGCATCAAAAATCAATATGGTTCATGGAGGGTTTTCTGACATTCTCATCCCTGTCATAATGTAGCTGCCTTCTTATGCAAATTACACATAGCTGTCTAACTTCTTAACTCTTTCTTCTCACTCCTTATATCTTATATAAAACAGTCTCTCTGTGTAAATCATATATCTCTCTCTCTGAGTCCTGAAGAGTAAAGAAGGGCAACTCCTATGAGTTCAGCTTCAACACAAACCATGTTCCCTGACTCTCTGCTGCTGTAGCTGTTGGCAGCTATCTCCTGTCTCTCTGGATTTGGGTGTTTAATTAACAGACTTATAACATGTTTAAAGGAACATATTATGTAATTAATGCTTACATAGCTTTAGAATAGCAGTACATTTGAGATTGTTCTATATGATATAAGGATTTTTCTTAACAGGTGTACACTGGGGTCTTGAGCTCAACCAGCCAAGTTCAATGGTTATACATTCTGGAGAGTCTTTGGTAATCACCTGTAAGGTCTCTGGGTTTTCTCTGACTGATAGCACCAACCTGAAGGCATTATACCAGAGTGGGTTGGGAACATCTACTGTATCAGGATGCAGGCACAGCTTACAAAGATTCACTGAAACGCAAGTTCAGCTTGACCAGAGACATTTCGAGAGGCACAGTGACTTCAATAAGACAGAGTCTGCAGACTGAAGACACAGCTGTCTATTGCTGTTCTTGATACCACAGTGATACAAACAAGGCCCAAACCTCTATAAAAATCCCAACAGCAATGAGTAGAAAGCAAGCTCAATCATATTGTATTTCCCTAACTAGAAATACTGGTGTACCATTCATATACTGCATGTCTACATAGTAAATCAAGTGTGAAAACACAAAAGTAATGCTCAAATCATTCCTTTGTACATTTTACTTTACATGGTGTGTTGTATCTTATTTGCTCTATAAGAGGTGTCAATGTTCAAGGAAATTCAGAGTTCATACTAGCTATCTATAGTTAACCATCGTCATTTCACTGAAAATATCATCAGCAAACAGAATAAAAACTGAAAGTAATAATCAAAATAAAATGTTAAAATAAAGTAAAAAAGAGTACTGGATCAAATATTTATCCTTGGAGGACACAAGTCATTACATTCTGATACTGATTCTGTGTATTACATGTCACAATGGTACATCACATTTCTTTCCTCCATTTTATAACAACTCTTTCACTCTATGCAAAGCAACTCTCCTCTCTTGTATAAAGAGGAATATCTCCCTCGCTTTCACTCAGTTAGCAAGTGCAGTTACCCTCAGTTCAGCTTCAACACAAATCATGTTCCCTGCATCTCTGCTGTTGCTGCTGGCAGCTGCATCCTGTGAGTTTTGGGGGACTGATACATCAACATAGGTGTAATAGGGAGTAATAGAGTTTTGGAAATGTAATTAACAAAATGTTTTGTGTTGTTTGTTTTGTTTTACAGGTGTGTTCTGTCAGACTGAGCTCACACAGCCAGGCTCTATGACCCTGCAGCCTGGACAGCCTCTGACCCTCTCCTGTAAGGTCTCTGGGTATTCAGTAACCAGCACCTACTGTACAGCTTGGATTCGACAGTCTGCAGGAAAAGCACTGGAGTGGATTGGCGTAATTTGTTACGATGAAAGCACAGCTTATAAAGATTCACTGAAACACAAGTTCAGCATCACCAGAGACATTTCCAGCAACACGTTGTTTTTAACAGGACAGAGTCTGCAGACTGAAGACACAGCTGTGTATTATTGTGCTCGATGACCACAGTGATACAAACCAGGACAGGACCTGTACAAAAACTGAATACCCATGTGAATCAAGCACAAGTGCAACATATGGCCCTCATTGATTCAATATAATATAATAATATAAATCAAAGAACTGATCTATGACATAAATCTTCTTATTGATACACTGGCACAATAAGTGGCTATGTCACTATTACATGAACACCTTGAGTCTTCACCAAAACATTTCTCAACAGTACCAAGATATGTAGTATTTAGACCACTAGAGCTACATTTAACACCATGGAGATGCAAATGTGTGTCTGTTCACATAGACCCAAGGTCTCCTCCCATTTCAGTAGTCTGATATAAGTGCCCTCCACAGACCATCTCCCTCAGTCACAACAACCACTCCCAGTCTGTGCTCCTACTTTTAAAGAACCTTAGAACTCTCCCACAATGAGAGTTCTAGAATGTGTGTTCCTCTTAGCTCTCATCTCAGGTGAGTTAACTGGAGTTATTTCTGTCCAGTGTCTCACGAGAGGAGCGGTGTGGTGGGTCATGTTCATCTAAACTCTCTGTCTGTTTTCAGCTGTTCAGGGGCAGTCACTCACCTCCTCTGAGTCAGTGGTGAACAGACCTGGAGAGCCAGTGACTTTTTTTAAAAACCTTTAATTAACTAGGCAAGTCAGTTAAGAACAAATTCTTATTTACAATGACAGACTACACCGGCCAAACTCGGACAACGCTGGGCCAATTGTGCGCCGCCCTACGGGACTCCCAATCACGCCCGGTTGTGATACAGCCTGGAATCGAACCAAGGAGTCTGTAGTGACGCTTCAATCACTGAGATGCAGTGCCTTAGTCCCCCTTGTCCTGTAAAGTGTCTGGAATCTCCATGGGTAGCTACTGGATGCACTGCATCCATCAGAAACCAGGAAAAGGACTAGAGTGAAATGGGCGCATTGACAGCGGCACTGGCACTATATTTCACCAAAGACAACTCCAAAAACCAGCTGTACTTAGAGGTGAAAAGCCTGAAGATTGAAGACTCTGCAGTTTATTATTGTGCCAGAGACACAATGACACAGGAGCCTGCAGCGCCGTACAAAAACTGATCAACACAGATGAGAGGCAATGAGGCACGTCTGTTCTTTATACACACACACACACACACACTCCTCAACAGTAGTGGAAAACAGACTGTCCACTGATACCAATGTTATTAACATAAAACTTCTAAACTAATTATAAACAGTTAAAAGCACACTATTTACATTAACACAGAAGTACATTTTATGCAATTCAGAATTCATATTAGATATTACGTTTTGAGCATCTTTGGACAGAATTATATTAATGTGATCAGCAAACAGAAATACACTTAAACTAAAAACAGTAATGAACCAATTATAGATCCTTGGGGAACTCCACAATAGACTCCCAAGAGGGAATATTAATTGTATTGTCCCACATAGGTAAATATTCTTCTTTCTGTGCTGTTCAGCATTTTATTAAAAAAAAAAAACATATCTGAGTTTGGGAAACTGTGATGAGTGTGATGGAAGGAGTCAGGCGCAGGAGGATAGTCACCGAATACAGAGTTTATTCTTTCGTAGACATACAAATGCGCTCCAATAGCGATAAACGAAACAGGCACAGGGGAAACTATCATCCCTGGCAAATACACTGTAACGGATATCCAATAATACATAGGCACAGGGGAAAATCTACCTTGGCAACAAAATGTTACGAGTAGCTCCACCGAGCTACACTACTCTCACAAATAACAATCACCCACAAGGACAAGGGGGCAGAGGGAACACTTATACACAGACTAATTAGGGGATTAGAACCAGGTGTGTATGATTGACAAGACAAGACAATTGTGATGATGATTGGGGCGGCAGTGGTTAGTAAGCCGGTGACGATGAACGCCGAAGCCTGCCCGAACAAGGAGGGGAGGCAGCCTCGGCCGAAGTCGTGACAGTACCACCCCTTGACGCGCAGATCCAGCAGCACGCCGACCCCGGCCTCTGAGACGGCCAGGAGGAGCAGGGTGAGCCTTATGGCGACGGTGGTAATCCCGCAACAGGGAGGGATCGAGGATATCCCTCACCGGGACCCAGCACCGTTCCTCCGGACCGTACCCTTCCCACTCCATGAGGTACTGAAGGCCCCCCACCCGACGCCTCGAATCCAGGATGGAACGGACAGAGTACGCCGGGGCCCCCTCGATGTCCAGAGGAGGTGGAGGAACCTCCCGCACCTCAGACTCCTGGAGCGGACCAACCACTACCGGCCTGAGGAGAGACACATGAAACGAGGGGTTAATACGGTAATCAGGGGGAAGTAATAACCTATACGTGACCTCGTTGATTCGCCTCAGGACTTTGAACGGCCCCACAAACCGCAGGCTCAGCTTCCGGCAGGGCAGGCGGAGGGGCAGATTCCGGGTCGAGAGCCAGACCCGATCCCCCGGTACGAAGACCGGGGCCTCACTGCGGTGACGGTCAGCGTTGGCCTTCTGACGATGCACTGCGAGCTGGAGGTGAACGTGGGCAGCTTTCCACGTCTCCTCCGCACGCCGAAACCAGTCATCCACCACAGGAGTCTCGGTCTGGCTCTGGTGCCACAGTGCCAGAACCGGTTGGTAATCTAAAACACATTGTAATGGAGTTAGGTTAGTAGAGGAGTGAAGGAGAGAGTTCTGGGCATATTCTGCCCATGGCAAGAACACCGACCACTCCCCCGGCCGGTCCTGGCAGTAGGACCGCAGGAACCTACCCACATCCTGATTTACCCGTTTCACCTGCCAATTTGACTCGAGGTGGAACCCAGAGGTCAGGCTGACCGATACTCCCAAACGTTCCATGAATGCCTTCCAAACCTTTGACGTGAACTGGGGACCTCGGTCGGACACTATATCCTCTGGCACCCCGTAGTGCCGGAAGACGTGAGTAAACAGGGCCTCTGCAGTCTGCAGGGCCGTGGGGAGACCGGGCAGATGAAGGAGGCTGCAGGACTTGGAGAAGCTGTCCACAACGACCAGGATGGTGGTGTTACCTTGGGAGAGGGGAAGATCGGTCAAGAAATCAATACTAAGAGGAGACCATGGTCGTTGTGGAACTGGTAAAGTTTGTAGCTTACCCGCTGGGAGGTGCCTAGGTGCCTTACTCTGGTCGCACACCGAGCAGGAGGAGACGTACACCCTCAAGTCCTTAGCCAAGGTAGGCCACCAGTACTTTCCGATCAAGCAGCACACTGTACGACCGATACCTGGGTGACCAGAGGAGGGTGACAAGTGTGCCCAGAAGATCAGAAGATCACCGATAAGAGCAGGCATGTACCGCAGCCCACCTGGACACTGCGGTGGAGATGGATCTGTGTGTAATGCCTGCTCTATATCCGCGTCCATATACCATACTACCGGCGCCACAATAAAGGAGGCCGGCAGAATGGGGGTGTTGTCTCTGGGCCTCTCCTCTGTGTCATACAGCCGGGACAGTGCGTCTGCCTTCACGTTCTTTGTACCCTGAATGTATGACAGTGTAAAATCAAACCGGGTGAAGAATAGGGCCCACCTGGTCTGGCGAGGCTTCAGACTCCTCGCTGCCCGGATGTACTCCAGGTTACGGTGGTCCGTCCAAATGAGGAAAGGGTGTTTTGCCCCTTCGAGCCAATGCCTCCACACGGTCAAAGCTCGGACAAAAGCCAACAGCTCCCGATCACCAACGTCGTAGTTCTGCTCCGCCGGTCTGAGCTTCTTAGAGAAGAAGGCACAGGGGCGGAGCTTGGGTGGCGTGCCCGAGCGTTGGGACAGGAGAGCACCTATCCCTACCTCAGACACATTCACCTCCACTACGAACAGTAGTGATTGAATGGGCTGGGCCAGTACCGGAGCTGAGGTCAATAGATCCCGCAGTCTCCTGAAGGCCAGGTCAGCCTCAGCAGACCAGCGGAGCCGGGACGGCCCACCCTTCAACAGGGGGAGCTGCAACCTTGCCAAAGCCCCGGATAAACCTCCGATAGTAGTTAGCAAAGCCAAGGAAGCGCTGCACCTCCTTAACTGTGGTTTGAGTCGGCCAATTACGCACGGCTGAAATGCGATCTCCCTCCATCTCCACATCTGAGGTGGTAATGCGGCATCCGAGGAAGGAGACGGACTGCTGGAAAAACATACACTTCTGTGCCTTGGCATAAAGGTCATATTCCAACAGTCGGGACAGCACTTTGCGAACCAGGGACACATGCTCGGCACGAGTAGCAGAATACACCAGGATGTCATCAATTTAGACCACAACACCGCGACCAAGCATGTTCCGAAACACCTCATTCACAAAGGACTGGAAGATGGATGGAGCATTCATCAAACCGTAGGGCATCAACAGGTATTCTTAATGTCCCGTGGTTGTGCTGATTGCTGTCTTCCACTCATCTCCCTCCCGAACACACACCAGGTTGTATGCACTCCTGAGATCTAGCTTAGTGAAGAAGCGCGCCCCATGCATTGATTCAATCACTGAAGGAATGAGGGGAAGAGGATAACTACATCTAATCGTCTCCTTGTTCAGTGATCGATAATCAATGCACGGGCACAGACCACCGTCTTTCTTCTTCACAAAGAAAAAACTTGAGGAGGCGGGTGAAGTGGAGGGATGTATATACCCCTGGCCCAGGGACTCGGAGACGTATGTTTCCATAGCCTCCGTTTCAGCCTGCGACAGGGGGTACACATGACTCCTGGGAGGTACAGCGTCTACCCGAAGGTTTATCGCGCAATCCCCCGCCCGATGAGGTGGTAATTTAGTTGCACGCATCCTAGAAAACGCGTGCACCAAATCGAGGTATTCAGGGGGAATGTGCACGGTGGAGGTACTGTCTGGACTTTCCACCGTGGTTGCACCAACGGAAACATCTAGACACCTACCCTGACACTCTCGCAACCACCCCGTGAGAGCCCTCTGCGGCCATGAGAGGGTGGGGTTGTGGAGTGCTAGCCACAGGATACCTAATACCACAGGGAAAGCAGGAGACTCAATAATCAAAATAATAACCTGCTCACAGTGTGTCTCCTGGGTGATCATGGTGACTGGTATAGTGACTTCCGTAACAAACCCAGACCCTAATGGTCGACTATCGAGTGCTCTGATGGGGAGTGGAATGGATAGGGGAACCAATGAAATGCCTTGACGGCGTGCGAATGGCAATAAAGTTCCCAGCTGCGGCTGAATCGACTAGCGCCTTACACTGGGGAACTAGTGGATAGGTAGGGTACAGTGTGCAGCAGAGGGCTCTGAACAAGTGTGGGTGTTCGATACCTGGGGTGATGCGTGAGTGCCCTGCCTGCCGCCTCCAGGCGCTAAAGAACGTTGACTACGACGTGTGGTGTACTGTCCCTTCGTGCAGGGTGGCACTGTCGCTGTCCTCCTCCGCTCTCCCGGCCGGCGGCTCCACCCAGCTCCATCGGCTCGGGATCCGAGTCATCCGGGGTGGAAACGGGCAGACCCCTACCAGGACGTCCTCTGGCTGCCAGCAGGTTGTCCAAACGAATGGCCATGTCCACCAGTTTGTTGAAGGACAACATGGTGTCCCGGCAGGCTATGGTCGATCAGGGCCCACTCGTTCCACCCTGACCCCGCTGCCTGCGTCCGAAACTCCAACACGAAGTCCTGCGCGGTCCTCGTCCCCTGCCTCAGGTGGACCAGCTGCTCGCCCACCTCTTGACCCTCGGGCGGGTGATCGAAGACCGCCCGAAAGAGGCGCGCGAACTCCCCGTAGTCCTCCAACACGGCTCCTTCTTCGTTCCACGCCGCATTGGCCCACTCCAAGGCTTTCCCACAGAGGCAGGAAACAAGGACAGACACCTTCTCCCGCTCCGATGGCGCCAGCCTGATGCTGGAGAATTACAGCTCCATTTGGAGGAGGAATCCCTGGCACAGCGCCGCCGTCCCATCAAACGCCCGAGGTCGGGATATTTGGATCCCTCCAGGTGCTGCGGTGTAGGTGGCTGGATCCGGTTGGCCAGCTGAGATTGGGTCCTCTCCTCTCCAGGCGTTGGACGACCTGAAGAACCCGATCCATCACTTCCCCCAAGCTGGCCAGCATCGTGGAATGCTCCTGGACCCGTGCCACGACTCCAGGCATGCGCTCTTCTCCCACTGACTCCATAGCGGGTGGGTGATTCTGTGATGAGTGTGATGGAAGGAGTCAGGAGCAGGAGGGTAATCACCGAATACAGAGTTTATTCCTTCGTAGACACACAAATGCGCTCCAATAGCGATCAATGAAACAGGCACAGGGGAAACTATCATCCCTGGCAAATACACTGTAACGGATATCCAATAATACATAGGCACAGGGGAAAATCTACCCTGGCAACAAAATGTTACGAGTAGCTCCACCGAGCTACACTACTCTCACAAATAACAATCACCCACAAGGAGATAGTCTCCCGAGTGGCGCAGTGGTCTAAGGCACTGCATCGTAGTGCTAGCTGTGCCACTAGAGATCCTGGTTCGAATCCAGGCTCTGTCGTAGCCGGCCGCGACCGGGAGACCCATGGGGCAGCGCACAATTCGTCCAGGGTAGGGGAGGGAATGGTGGGATGTAGCTCAATTGGTTGTGGGTTCGATTCCCATGGGGGGCCAGTATGAAAAATAAATAATGTATGCACTCACTAACTGTAAGTCGCTCTGGATAAGAGCGTCTGCTAAATGACTAAAATGTAAATGAGAAGGGGGCAGAGGGAACACTTATTCACTGACTAATTAGGGGATTAGAACCAGGTGTGTGTGATTGACAAGACAATTGTGATGATGATTGGGGGGGCGGTGGTTAGTAAGCTGGTGACGCCGAAGCCTGCCCGAACATACTCAGTAAGTAAAACATTTCACATTAGTGACTGAAGAATTGCTGAGTGGTTAAATTAATATCAGTGTAAATACCACATCTTCAACTGAGTGTTACATTTTTTTTTGCAGGTGTTTGTTGTGATATAAAGCTGGATCAGTCTACTCCTCAGGTGAAAAGACCTGGAGACACTGTTAAAATATCCTGTAAAATCTCTGGTTTCTCAATGAGTGGATACTGGATACACTGGATGAGGCAGAACCCAGGCAATGTCACAGGGTGGATCGGGAGAATGAATAGCAACTCTCCAGTCTACTCAGACTCCCTGAATGTCCAGTTCACCCTGACTGAGGACGTCTCCACAAGCATACAGTTCTTAGAGGCCAAGAGTCTGCTCGAGAGAAACACTGACCACAGATGGTGAAGCAGCTGTATAAAAACCCACACCCCCTAACAAGATGACACGCTGGTGTACTACTTCCTCTCTTTGTGTCACACTAGAATAATACTGAGTATCATTAAAGTAAAGAATACAACAACAATATCACAAAGCACTACACAATAAAAGAGATCAGCCTCTAACACTCCAACTATCTCTTGCCCAGTCAGGTCAAGCTTTCTTGTTGTCACATGAACAAGTATTTAAAGGCCCAGTGCAGTCAAAAATGTGATTTCCTGTGTTTTATATATATTTCCACACAATTATGATAATGCCATTTTAGTGTAAGAGCTTTTTGAAAAGACTGCCTGAAGTTTCAGTCTGTTTTGGCGGGAGGGAGTTTTGGCCTTCCATGGTGACATTACCATGCAGTAAATTAGTTAACAGACCAATGAGAAGGAGAGTTCCAAACCTCTCTGCCAATAACAGCACTTTTTCCATTTTCCCCTCCCCACTCAGACCACTCCCAGACAGTCCTAGCAACATTATTGCTAGAGAAATTGCTCTTCGCTATAAAGCTTTTATTTAATTTTTCATTGAAAAGAATCACAGTATGGTTCTTAATATTTACACAGAAAATATTTCATATTTAACAAACTATTGAGGCCATATAAACCTGTTGCCCATCTCTGAATTCTCTATTTAATCTTTGTATGATCTTCCCACCCTGTGAGGAGGAGTCAATGCAAAACTGAGCTCTTCCATCACTACTTATCTCACTGCAGAGTGAAGCTCTGACTAGACTGAGGAACAGAGACACACCATAACTACTAATAGTTCATCATGACATTTACTATTGTGGTTCTACTGATGACAATAGGCTTGACAGGTGAATACTTTTAGACTGATTTTATTTGATTAAGAATAATCACAGAAGTTTCCAGTCCAGGGATTTTCCCTAATGTTACTTTGTTTCCACAGGTGTTCAGGGTCAAACATTTACTGAGTCTGGACCAGTGGTCAAAAAGACTGAAGAATCACACAAACTGACCTGTACAGCCTCTGGGTTCACTTTCAGTAGCTACTGGATAACTTGGAACAGAAAGGCTCCTGGGAAAGGACTGGTGTGGATTGCTACAATTAGTGATTCCAGCAGTTACATCTACTACTCCCAGTCTATTCAGGGTCGGTTCACCATCTCCAGAGACAATAGCAAGCAGCAGGTGTATCTCCAGATGAACAGCCTAAAGACTGAAGACTCTGCTGTTTATTATTGTGCCAGAGACACAGTGACACAGGAGGCTGCAGCACAATACAAAAATGGATCAACACAGATCTCAGTATGATGAGACCTTGGGACTATAAGGTTCTATCTGACATTTTGGTAAAAATTGAGTTCGTCACATATAATACATCTTTAGATTTTCTGAAAATATATATTTTAAGTGAAAAAAATTAAGAAACTACAAGGTTATATCTGAATCAACCCATTTGAACTTGGCACTATAAGGTTCTAATTGCAATCCAATAACAAGCCTGAACAAATACAGACGGACCAATCAGAACACGTCTTCGACATCTCCCTCTAAATACAACAACTGTCAGAAATCTTAAAGTAAATTATTTTGTCATGTTGTTCAGTGATGACAAATCAAATCAAATCAAATTATATTGGTCACATACACGTGTTTAGATGTTATTGCGGGTGTAGCGAAATGCTTGTTTTTCTAGCTCCAACAGTGCAGTAATATCTAACAAGTAATATCTAACAAATTCACAACAATACACACAATACACACTAATCTTGAGTAAAGGAATGGAATTAAGAATATATAAATATTTGGATGAGCAATGTCAGAGCGGCATAGACTAAGATACAGTAGAATAGTATAGAATACAGTATATACATACATATGAGATGAGTAATGCAAAATATGTAAACATTATTAATGTGACTAGTGTTCCATTATTAAAGTGGCCAGTGATTTCAAGTCTATGTATATAGGGCAGCAGCCTCTAATGTGCTAGTGCTAGTGACAGTAACCCTTATGCCATTTTCACATATAAAATTCAGTACCGTGGTGAGGTTCTATGGAGCGTTGGGAATTCTACAGAAAACGTTTTGCTTTCACAAGACCTGAAAATAACAGTTTCAAGGTGCAATTAGCCAGACTGACATTCTACATGACTTTAGCAAGCTAGCTTGTTTTACAACGGTCAAAGAGTTCCACACGACTCGCGCTTCAGCGTCACAATACCTGGTATTCTGGTCCTAGAACTTGGACCCACTATTGCACAGGTCCAGGATTTGTTTCAGCCAGTGTTAATTTGTGTTTCACACATTCTTTATAACACAGATCAGGGTACCAAACGCTCAAGGATCCGAATCATACAGACACATGTGAAAGCGCTCTTAGGGTATTTGATGATGTGTACTTCAGACTCTATCTTGTAAAATAGTGTTATTCTATCATTTATGTATTCAAATAGCTACAGTTTTCTTAAAAACGGAACATGTCTAATTCAGAAGTGTCAGATATAACCTCATGGCTTAACCCAGATTGACCATTAGGTTCTATCTGCCATTTCACCCCCCTAAAAAAACGGATTGACAAATGTCTCAGGATTTCAATACACTGCACTTTAGGTACCTTTAAGATAATTAAATGTTTCATTGAAAACAATCACAGTATGGTTCATATGGCCATATGAACCTGTTTCCCATCTCTGAATTCTCTATTTAATATTTGTGTGATCTTCCCACCCTGTGAGGAGGAGTCAATGCAAAACTCTGAGCTCTTCCATCACTACTTATCTCACTGCAGAGTGGAGGAGAGGAACTGAAGCTCTGACTAGACTGAGGAACAGAAACACACCATAACTACCAATAGTTCATCATGACATTTATTATTGTGGTTCTACTGATGACAATAGTCTTGACAGGTGAACACTTTTAGACCATTTTTATTTGATACAGAATTATCACAGAGGTTTTGAGCCCAGGGATTTTCTCTAATGTTACTTTGTTTCCACAGGTGTTCAGGGTCAGACACTGACTGAGTCTGGCCCAGTAGTTAAAAAGCCTGGAGAACCACACAATCTGATATGTACAGCCTCTGGTTTAGACATGAATAGCTACTGGATGGCTTGGATCAGACATGCTCCAGGGAAAGGGCTAGAATGTGTTGCTACAATTAGTGATTCCAGCAGTTACATCTACTACTCCCAGTCTATTCAGGGACGGTTCACCATCTCCAGAGACAATAGCAAGCAGCAGGTGTATCTCCAGATGAACAGCCTGAAGACTGAAGACAACTGTTTATTATTGTGTCAGAGACACAGGAGGCTGCAGTGCAGTAGAAAAACTGGTCAAGCAAGACAATTCTGGGCTCCAGTCTCTGTCAACATCAATCCCATGGCCCCACCAACACTAGAAGAGAGTAGACACATCATACTCTAAATTCCAGTGGCTTGCGAAAGTATTCACCCCCCTTGGCATTTTTCCTATTTTGTTTCCTTACAACCTGGAATTAAAATGGATTTTTTGAGGGGTTTCTTTATCATTTGATTTACACAACATGCCTACCACTTTGAAGATGCAAAATATGTTTTATTGTGAAACAAACAAGAAATAAGACAAGAAAACTTTAAACTTGAGCATGCATAACTATTCACAATAACCTAAAACACAAGGTCAAGTACACACTGGAGTCACTTACCAAGACAACATTGAATGTTCCTGAGAAGCCTAGTTACAGTTTTGACTTAAATCGGCTCGAAAAGCTTTGGCAAGACTTGAAAATGGCTGTTTAGCAGGTAGCTTAGTGGTTAAGAGCGTTGTGCCATTAACCGAAAGGTTGCTGGTTCTAATCCCTGAGCCGACCAGGTGAAAAATCTGTCGATGTGCCCTTGAGCAAGGCACTTAACCCTAATTGCTCCTGTAAGTCACTCTGGATAAGAGCGTCTGCTAAATAATTAATGATTTAGCAATGATTTTAAAAAAAATTATAATGTGCAAATATTGTACAATCCAGGTGTGCAAAGCTCTTAGAGACTTACCCAGAAAGACTCACAGCTGTAATCGCTGCCTAAGGGCTATTTTACCAAGAAGGAGAGTGATGGAGTGCTGCATCAGATGAAACAGGTGTATCTCCAGATTAACAGTCTGAAGACTGAAGACTGCTGTTCTCTCACTAGCAAATCAAATCAAATCAAAGCCGAGTCTAATGGGATGTGAGACACACAGTAAACTGAGGATCCAGCATAAATTCCAAGTTTATTCAAAGCATTCCATTCCTCATCAAGCTCAATGCAGCGTAATCCACTCTTCTGGCCATTTTAGTTAGTAAATATTATCTTGATGACAGCTTATTTACATTCACCTGTATATCAGCCTAATCCAATTAAGAATGTTAATTATTGGTAGGTATTATTTCATGTCCTCATTGAGCATAATTAAATATAGAAGCATAATTGTGATAGCAGATTTGATCTGTTAATTAAAAAGAGTAATGGGCCATGTATATACTCTATCTTTGGGGGACACCAATACTTAGATTCTCACCATCTGTGCCTTTTGTGCAGTTCTCCAAAGAATCAATGATAATGATTATACTAACATACTGTAAACAATGAGCAGAACAGAACCATTCATAATGCAAGTCAATGTATCCCATAATAGATCATTGTATTATTATGATAAATAACTGTTCTCCTCAACATGTCACTGTGATACTAGTAATTTATATAACTGTACTTCTCCTTTAATCCTAAATCTCAGACTTTGATGCAAAGCAATTCCCCTCATTGTATATAAAAATGAGTCCCTCTCTCGTTCACTCAAATGAGTGAATAAGTATCAGTTCATCTTCCTCACAAACCATGTTCCCTCCATATCTGCTGCTGTTGCTGATGCAGGCAGCTCCCTTTGAGGCATTAGGTGATTGAACGCAAAATATAGGATGCTATTTCTTGAACAAATATTACTATAACATAATCAAACTGTATCAATTTATCATGTATCTAATGTTAGGTGTGCA